AACTCATGTTTAAACTCCAAGTTGAACCTAGTCAGATGGATGTACCTACATCAACTAGAACTCTTAACATCTGTAACGGGAAAATATCAGCTTTTGAAAATGAAACCTACATCGGTTGCATTGGCACAAATCTATGAAGTTAATAACAAGTGGACTGAGTCATGTTGGTAGGTGTAGACTACCTGGTTGGGATCTATGAGACGATAGCAACCGATGGTTAGAGATCTTGAATGACATGACTCCAGAATCATTTGCAATGGCGTAGGTGTATCCACTCTTTGTGTTCTTCCAAATTCTAATCTTCTGAATTCTTCGTGTCCCATTTTTCTCTTTCCAAATTTATTTCACCAGATTATACTCCTTGAATAACACCTTCTGAACTTAATCTTTCCGGTTACTGCTTATACTTTTACTACCTCTACCACTATGGGATTTGAATTGACAATGATATCTCTGTGCTAATGTGTTATGGCAATTTCAACTGATGTACGAACGTACGAAGCTCTACGTTGTGACTGACTGGCCTATTGATATCGGTTGCATAAGCTGACAACTGATTAAAGTTATTAGCTTAGTAGAATAACTGCTCGAGTGTTTCAAGCATAAAAGTACTCTATTCGAATCTCACTTTCAACATCAACTCGAAGATGTAGTTATATGTAACTGATGAGTCTCGAATAGAACGAACACAATCTCCCTGGAATACCATCTATTAACCGTTATACAGCTTTACTAATAAGATGAGGTTTAATCTAACTCATCAAATGGAAATATTATATTCAAATAACAAACATAATTGAGCTCATATTCATGATCGATAGTGTATTCAACATTAATCTACTTGCCATAGAAATCCCAAGGGGCATTGACTTCATATATATGTATAGAATCTAATAAATGATTTAAGGTTATTTCAGTTAATAAAACGCAACAGGAAAAGTATTCCATGTTTTATAAATTGTAAAGTTTGTTACTTTATATTTTGTGTGTGTGTACATATGAATGTGTGCGTGTGTGTGTGTGTGTTATTACCCTGACAACATGTTGCATGAATTGTCTCATGAAAGAATCAATCATGAAATACAGTTTAATTAAAAGGAGATTCGTAAATGTTCACGCAAGAACTATTCAAATCATCTTAATATTATATGTTCAATAATGGTAATTAGAGAAATCATTCAAGTTACTTTGATGATGGTATCTATGCTGAAGATGATTAGAATAAGTTCATGTTAATATTATAATACTATAACTGATGTATTATGATTGATTCATGCATATAGGTTGTTTATATGCTATTAGAGTAAACGATGAATTCATTGTAGATAGACTTGATAACATGATAATATAAGATCATTAGAATTGATCAATCATTCAATAGTGCGTGACCAATGTCATGTTTGTTAATATCCGAATGAACATTAAAGGTATAGTAATTTTCAGGATTCATTTATAGACTATTATTATTATATGTATTCTATTCCTACTATATAATTATTACGTAATTTCTATTCCTTTCAATAATGATCTTTCATATAAACCATTAACTACTGTTTTATGATGTATCATGGTTAAACTGTTGTCAGTTTATTATTCATTGCCACATCTACTCACAGTGACTTTTTAGCTTGATCATGTATGATTGTTATTTTGCATTTTATGATGTGATGTGGTCGAGTATTTCAGTATAGAAACTCTGTATGATTGAATTATAATATTCGTATCATGAAGGTTGACTATTGTATTGTGAACTGAACGTACAGGGTAGAGAAAGGGAGAGAGAGAGACAAGCTACCAATAAGAGCAATAGTGTCGTCCTAAGGTTATTAGTTTTGAGTGGATTCGGATTGATGTATTGGTCACTAATATTAGGAAGTGGTTATCAGTCATAACAATGTTTATCTTATCTCATTTTATTACTACTCCTAATCGAATTCTATCGATCAAGTTACAATATGGTTAATAGTGTCTAAGTTACTTGGTATTACGTAATGGGAAATACCACTTAACTTAGGTTTCAAACTGTTTTGTACTCTCTAATCAGACATATCTCAACATAGTATAAAATATATTGATTTACTTTGTCAGTAGTACTCGATCGACTAGTTAAACATGACAATTGTTATTATTAACTTATCAATCATTTGTTAGTATTTTGTTCATATAAGGAGTCAGTCGCAACCCCTAATAGGTCTGTAGTAACGTTTAAGATCGTGAAATTTGTTGATGTTGGTTCAAACACACCACAAAGAGAGAGAGAGAGAGAGATTACAGATACACACCTTACTGATGAGTTTTAAATAGTATAAAACCTAGGTTGAATAGAGTTATTCTGTCGACTACTTTCAATTATCTATCATTGGAAACTATTTCAGTTTAAGTCTAATGTACAGTGCAACAGTTATATCATTTTAATGTAACCAATAGAACTCATGAGTTATTCAATATGATTATATGTGTAGTTTAATTTCCTATTGTTTATACTTTTCTTTTTCCTTATTTTGGGAAAAACAAACTTCATTTTTCTATATTATGCTAATAAAGACTATATAATAATAGGCAAATAACTATTTTTATAAGCAAAGATGAATAGTGGCTAGTAGTGGAATACAGGATGCGCGATTCGTCTTATTCAGAATACGTCTTAATTACTTACTTACTTACGCCTGTTACTCCCAATGGAGCATAGGCCGCTGACCAGCATTCTCCAACCCACTCTGTCCTGGGCATTCTTTTCTAATTCCATCCAATTTTTGTTCATTCTTTTCATGTCTATCTCCATTTCCCGACGGATTGTGTTCTTTGGTCTTCCTGTTCTCCTCCTTTGGCCTTGAGGATTCCATGTGAGGGCTTGTCTTGTGATTCAGTTGGGTGCTTTCCTCAATGTGTGTCCTATCCACTTCCAGCGCTTCTTCCTGATTTATTCCTCCTCTGGGATTTGGTTTGTTCTCTCCCACAGTACGTTGTTGCTGACAGTGTCCGGCCAACGGATGTGAAGTATTTTGCGTAGACAACTGTTAATAAACACCTGTATTTTCTGGATGATGGCTTTCGTAGTTCTCCAGGTTTCTGCCCCATACAGTAGAACTGTCTTGACATTTGTATTGAAAATCCTGACCTCGGTGTTGGTTGACAGTTATTTTGAGTTCCAAATGTCTTTCAGTTGTAAATGTGCTGCTCTTGCTTTGCCGAATCGCGCTTTCACATCTCGATCAGATCCACCCTGTTCATCAATGATGCTGCCGAAATATGTAAACGTTTTTACATCTTCCAAATCTTCTTCGTCAATTTTGATTGGATTGGTGCATGCTGGATTGTATCGGAGAATCTTGTTTTTCCCTTTGTGTATATTGAGACTTACTGGTGCTGAGGCTGCTGCTACACTGGTCGCTAAAAAAACCGGATACGTCAGTTGGATGTGCGTGTATCTCAGAGTTGCTGTTCACTTCGCCACTCAAAACCGGTACTGTCCACTCTAAACACCATCTCGTTATCCACTTAGCTACCGATTCCTGATAGCCACTTGCTTGTGCAATGGGGTGAAGTTGAAATTCATTTTGTATTTTCCGTTTGAATCTCCCCACTGATGTTTGACACTGCAATTGATCAGTGTCTTAATAAATAACGCGATATCGTTTGAAGCGAATGGTACTGAGTTCGAATCCCAGAGTGAATATCAACTCTGAGATGCAGACATATCCAGTTAATGAGTTCCAAATAGGACGAAACGAGCATGTTGGATTTCACTGCTAACCATTATTCATTTGTGCTTACTAAACTTGTGAATCAAGTCAATATTGATGCAGTCCGCAGATATAAGTAAACAACACCAAATGAATTTCAGATAACCATCTTATTATATAATAAATCATGAATTCCAAGTTTATAATTAACAATTTATTATTCATCACTCAAATTAATGAACATTTCTCCTATATAAAATGAACTATTTCATGAGTATAAAATGATCTAAACATCTGGTTGTTCAATTTATTGTTTGATGAATCTAATAAATTTAATTGTTCTTATTAGAAGGTAAATGAAAGTGATCAGTGTAACATGAGATGAACCCTGTTGACTGTTCAGGTTTCCTTTTTTTCTTCTCTTTTTTTTCTTTCTTCTATCACAATTATCCTCTCTTCCTACTTTACCCCCCTTCCATTTTTGTTTTCTATGCATCCTAATCTCCTGTACAATGCTCTCTCTCTCTCTGTGTGTGTGTGTGTCTGAGTACACATAACTCAGAGAATTTAATGTGTTTGAAGTAACCTTTTGATCATAAATCAATAACTGATCTTTATCATATGCGCTTGTGTGTATTTATTTATTCAAGTTTTTGTGCTGTGTATTATTGTATGTGTTTGTATGTACGGTTTGTCTCTTAAATAAACTGAAAAGTTTATGTTATGAAATGATTTCAGCTAAGCACTTAGTGAATAATCGTATTGTCTCAGTATAGGATTCATCAGTGGTAGTTAGCACCTACAATGTCACTAGAAAAGATGGAACGTAGGACTTCTATTTCATATATGGACACTTGACTTCTAGATCACTGAGATAGCATTCAATGGCTTGTATGTTTAATTTCACTTAATTCGTAATACTATGTAACTATCTTACAATGCACTTGGTTAGTTAGCCGCCTAACATTTGGTACGGTTAAACTTCACCGGTTATAGCTTCTCACCAAAGCTTACTTAGACTAGAAGTTAAATATATACATCGTCGGATGCCGGCTCAATGGTCTAGATATTAAGCGATTAAATAAGAGACAGAAGGTTCCGGGTTCAATCTCCCATTTCGAGGTCAATGAGTGTCCTCATCCACTGATCAGTTTCATCTCAGAACGAAACCACTATCCAGTGTTTCTTGATCTTTAGTGATAATTTAACTAAGATCGTTCGATGATGTTAATCATGAACTAATTGTTATATATACAATAACATATGCTTCAACGATTTCTTAATCTTCATACGCATCACAAAATACAGATTTGCATAATGTATGTAAAATTACATGAACTTTTTATACAAGAATATAAACATCTATACAACAGTCACCAAATGTCAAGTTCAAAAGTATGAGTATTTGGTTAGATCTCCGCATACAATGATCTGGATACACTATAGTAGAGCTTCTGTAATTTTATTGATATACATGTATTCTAATGTCTCTAAGACCCCTTCTATTAAAATATATTCAAGAAGAATGATACTATGGTATATGCTACTTACATCGACATGATTAGTATATAACTCTAGTTAGGAATAGAATGTCTGGTAGCAGGAGATTGAGAAGATCATATAGGGAAGAACGGGAACAGAGAGCAAATGTTACGGAAGTGAAAGAACAGTGAAAAGTAAGACAATTAATGAACATTTTACAAATGAATTAACTCTATAAATTTACGCTAAAATGAAATTGGTTGTCCTCATCTATGTTCTTATTCACAACAATACAAGAATAGAGTAGAGAATTTGTATATGATAGAATAACACTTATCCTCTTACGTACCCTGTTAACTGTTTCTAGGGCTCTCTCTTTTTCAAAAGTCTAGGTAAAACTAATATACAAATTGTAATAGTAAGTGTCGTGGTTTTCTAGAATATTAGGGTTGTACAGAAAGAGAATCTATTCTCTAATTTTATAGGAGATTTTAATGATTATTTTTATCAATATAGATGGGTGATTAATTATCCCTGTGATTATTTAAACACAACAATATTGTTAATAGTTGGATTCATGAGTTGATTTAGGGTAGACCACTATAGAAAACCTGGAGGCAATGGACGGCCGTTTTGTCCTAGTATGGAACTTCTCCGCAGCAGTGCGCATCCACAATCCCGTCTGTGGGATTCAAACCCAGGAATTTCGGAACTTTGACTCATGAATTCAACATTTAACAACTATTAAAGTCCACAAAGAAACATCATTCTGATAACAACAATACTGGTTAATAGTCTTTGATCTATCTAATGAGGTAGAATTTATTCAATAGAAGAATAGTAATTATTCAAAAGTTATAATTGTTTGAAACATATTGCAGTCTAAGATGCTTGATCCCCAAAATAATTCGTCAAATTTATTATTTAATGTTTTTCTCCCTGAAATTTCCCACATTGCTAGTCTGCCGTTTTTCTTGCTCTTAACACTGTTAACCACATGATTCACTAACGCTTTTGTATACTACTCACGCCTTTATTCCTATGGGCTCTGGTTATCCATTTTTACAAACTAGCAGTACACTATGTAATTTCCCTTCTTGCTTGTCCCGCGTGTGGAATCGTGCATACCGACTTCTGAACAGTCACATATTAGAACGAAACGGCAGTCCAGTGCTTAGATCGACTTATGAATCCACATTACACAATTATGATTATTACTTGTATTCGGGTATAGTATTAAAGTTATCGTAACATTAGGCGAAATGACTATTCGATTAATCCCGTTTGGACGATGTTCTACACAAACATTTGTTCTTGAGGAAAACACATGCCAACAAAACTCGAACCACAAAGAACTAACAATTCGATATATTCCTATCCAGTCAAGTTTAAAAATTGAACAATAAAACTACTGAATATACAAAATTACAATAAACTACTCATAAATCAGAATGTTCTACACAATGGAGACATTCTGTCTGGAAATATTTAATACTCATTAAAGAGAAATCTTCATTTATGAATTTATGGCTCTTTATATCAAACAAGTTTCAGCATGTTCCCTAACATTATGATCATCACCATCTGATTGATAGACACTGGACAGAATTTGACTGAGTTTTAAAACACCCATTATTATTATTATTATTACTATATCATCTCTTCATTTACTTAATGGTTTAGCCCCTGGACGTCCGATGATCAGTAATAAGCTTAGAAAACTAATCAAAGTTACGTATAATTTAATAGGACATTCTAAAATATTAGTCATTTTATAGGAAACTTGAAAAGTAATAAAAAGAACCTCCTAAGTTATAAGCAAAGATGGATGATGGCTAGTAGTGGAATCCAGGATACACGTTTCGTCTTATTTGGGACACGTCAGTTGGATGGACCTGTATCTCAGAGTTGCTGTTCACTTCACGACTCGAAACCAGTACTGTCCGCTTTAAACGTCATCTCGTTATCCACTTAACTACCGAGCTCTGACAACCACTTGCTTGTGCAATGGAGTGAAGTTGAAATTCATTTTGTATTGTACGTTTGAATCTTCTCAATGATATTTAGGATTGCAATCGACCAGTCTCTTATTGGCATATGTGCATAAGGCATACAGCATATGTTATAGATATTTGGCACATTTCATTTCAGCCATATATATCACATACATCTCAGAAGTTCATTTTAAGGAAGTACGACGTATACTTATCATTAGATTATATATCTATGCGGATCGACGATCCTGCTCTTGGGATTTGCAGTATTAGATGCTGGCTCAGTGGTATAGAGGTTAAGCGTTCGCATGCGAGACCGATAGGTTCTGGTTTCGAATCACGTGAGCAGGATCGTGGATGAGCACTGTCTCGGAAGAGTCCCATACTTCGACGGCTTTTACTAACTATCAAGCTGTTTAGTCAACCGTCATTTTCATGAAATTTCGCATACTCAAAAGAAGTCGTATACATTTTTGTAAAAAGGAAAGCTACTGTAAACATTTAAATAATCATAGGAGTAAGTCTCTATTGTATCAATTGTGTTTTTTCTCTCTCGTCTTATTATCGATTTTCATTTGGATTCATTCAATACAGAAACAATTAATATAATAATATTGTCAGCTTTATATTCAGGTAGATCCACATGACTTGATGTCATTAAAATATTATGTAACAATAAACAAAGGGAACAGTTTTAATTCTCATAGTAACAAAAGTCATAAGATTGATTGATCACTTTTTAAATGATTTAATTAATAAATACGAAATTAAACCGACTTCTGTAGATAATGTAGATAGTTTCAATTGATATCATGAATGGATGAATATTAGAACAATATTGAAACCATGGAAACAATCGATCGCTGATTTGTCCCTGTATAGGACTTCTTAACAGTGCGCATCCACGACCCTGCACATGGGACACGATATTAAGTCCTTCGGTCTCGCGGGCGAATGCCTAACCTCTAGACCACTGAGCCGGCAGCATTTGTCAGATAGATCAAAGATCCTGAGTTCGAGTCCCACGTGCAGGATCTTAGATGTGCACTCTTCAGGAGTCCAAAACAAGGACAAAACGGCCTTCTAGTGCTCTCAGGTTCTCAATGGTGGTCTGACATTCATCCATTCATGATATCAGTTGAAACCCAATTGAAAATCCACAACCCTTTACTGAGAATATAGATTACCTTTAGTTCTGTGAAACTTAGCCTACTCATAAGTAGTTAAAGTGTTTCTTGAATAAAATGTTTGGAAAGGTTATTTCTATTCGTTATACTTTTAACCAGATGAGTTATGTACATTTCGATTGGAGCTAATTATGTAATTACGGATTATCTGTTTTGTCCAGTTTGGAGATTCCCCTTACATTGAATAATTTAATGTCCATCTGTGATTAACAGATTAGTGGGCAACAGTGATTTTTGAAAGTGATGTAGAATTTTGCGTACCTAGTCAGCATCATTGATAAACAAAGAGGATCTGATGCAGACGTAAAGCTGAGGCACTAGATGGCTGTTTTGAACTGGTATGAAACTATTCCGTAGTTAACACATGCAACTCCATAAAAGGAAGTCGAGCCTGGGACCTTCGGTTTGGGGTGCTAATATACCTAAATTCCAGATCACTGAGCTAAGGTCAAATGGTACATAAGCCTGACTTCATAGTGTATATTTTTTCTATGAATGTGGTAAACTACTGAAATGTTCTGTGGTTTTTTCTAGCACTCATTTAGACATTTAGTTGACATTCTCAAGCTAATCTATGATTTTGGAGTTAAAAACTCTCAGTAAATTTTATCATAATCACAAATGTTACCACTTAGCTGCTCAGAAATTGATTGACCCTCCTATCCACATATTTGAATGGAATTTCTTAATCTAACACATAATTGTAACCAGTGATTTCTCACTTAGTTATTAGTGCTAACCTGAATCTACCCATCAAATATGAAGTATAGATTCCGATCCAGGTGGACTGACACTGAAATGCATCGTTATGAAAAAAACCCTGCTTTTATTGACTATTTCTTAATTTTCTCTAACATAACCAAAAATTAAAAGAGAATTTTCTGAAACATCCAAAAACTTTACAGAAGAGAACACGTTCTATCTTCAAACAGAATTTGAAAATTTAACATACTAAACTTTTCTGTTTGTAAAGGCTTGTTAATATTACGAAATGTAGTTGATCACTGTCTATTGGAATATTTGTATACATCCAGGTTAAGATGGTGATTCGAGGTAATCAACAGGAAACCCTGCAATCAGCTTTTGCGCTACTTGGCACTCGTCAGCAAGGTGTACCTGTAATCTTGAGAGAATCGGTGCTCCCTGATAGATTTGATCCCGTGTCACTCAGCTGAGCTATCCGGGCCACGACTGACTTCTTGTGGGACTGAGATGTATTTACAATTGACTGATCACTCAGTGGTGGTGTATGTCAGGTCCTTCTTAGTGCCAATTGAATCCTATCGACCAAGTTGCTATGTGATCACTAGTCTAGGTGACTTGACCTGACATACATGACATTGAGTACCACCCAGTGATCAATTAATTGTAAATGCATTCAGGTTGCCTCCCATCCACAAATATCGTTAAGATGTAGTTAGTGTTAAAGTTCATGACTCGTTTTTTTGGCTGATTTGTGATTTGTCAGTTTAATTTAGGTGATGTTCACACTGGTACTAAAAAACCATTACTTAGAGGATTAAAATTGATGTTACCTAATAAATAGAAATAATTGTTCCAAACATTTTGTGCAAGAAATCTTTAACTACTTATGAGTAGGCTAAGTAACAAATAAAGGCAATCTATATTCTCAGTAAAGGGTTGTGGAGATTGT